CGTAAAAACTTTAGTTAAAACGGGAGTTTATAACCAACTAAAGTCATTAATTATTAAGTGATGTTTGAAGTAAATGATAACAAACAATTAAAAAAATAAATTCATTTGGCGAGTACCTGGTGAGGAGGAAATGATGCTGTGTCACCAAGTGGGCTCATAAAAAAAAATTAAGAAAGTTTTTTGACCTAGAGTTAGACAGCCTTAACCCTTTCAGGATGGGCATCCCGTATACGCATTTCCTAAGAACGTCTCTTACAGCTGCATCCATGCATCACTAGAGATTGCATTCAGAGGACGTGTGATGCGTATATGCATTTTAAGCTGGAACATTTATCTGAAGGCCACTAGATGGCACCCTATGTGCATTATTTTTGAAATGAATACAGTTTTAGGTTCCTGACCTTGAGTTTGATATATTCTGTCTGACTTTGGTATTTTACTCATCAACTGTTGCGAGGGTGGGGGGAGGGAGGGAAAACATAAACAGAGGTGGGCTCTTTAAATTGCTGCATGCTAATATAAATATTCATGTGTTTGATTTATATCCAATTCCTTTTTTTATTATATTTCCCCCCTCTACTATATATGGTCTTTTAACATTACTATGTGCAATGCAAAACTGTCACGTTTTGCATTGCCTTCTGATATATTTCCATTTCTTCCCTTTATATTTCGGAAAGCCTCACCTCCAGTCTATTATGGCGGGAAGGTACTATTTATCAGAGGAAGAATACCCTCGTATGGTTAATGAATCATTTACTAATGCAGATGAGAGTGATGATTCTTTTTCTAAAGAGTTAGAAAGTGATACTTTTTCTAACAGTTAGAAAGCGATACTTCTCTGTGCTTTGAGATTTACCAGACTCAGTCTTCATTTTAAATTTTGTTACTTCTTAGTGTAAATAGTCTTTATTGTGTTGTTTTATTAATTTTAAACTAAATTGATGGATTAGTTTAAAATTAACTTAATTTTAAACTATATTGATGGATTTTATCAATTAAAACTTTGGAATAATTAAAAATAGTGCTTCCGAAAATTATTTTACAAGATAAGGAAATTTTTAGGTACATTTTCATGTAAAATAAAGAAAAAAACATTATTAATTGCTAATTTTAACATATATAAGAGTTCAAGTAATAATCTAAAATGTTACCAAAAATGACGATGCTAGAAGTGAAACTTTTCTTTTCCCCAATTTTTTTTTTTATAAAATTAGGCTTAGCGATGCAAAACCTCCATCCCGTACCGTGACTGCCTTCGATTCCCTTCCGTTCCGCACGAGCGTCTTAAACAAAGTGCGCTATTGTGAAAAGGGTTAATAATCACTTACTTTTTATACCATGGAAACAAATACAAATTAAGTGTTTGAACACTGTGCAACTACAAACCAAAAAAAAAAAAAAAAAAAAAAAAGCAAAATTCTAAGGTATATAAAACAGGATGAAGTTCTTCGGGATGATTTTCTGCCTATTTTGAGATTTTGATTTGAAAATCTGAATTTGATCTTGTAGTTTTTATAATGATTGCTTTTCCACTACGGAAGAAATACACTTGGAATTGCTTTCTTATATGTTCAGAGAGGTCAAATGTAATGAAGAAACTGCTAACAAAGAAGAAGTGATCGAAGAGGATATTCACATGCAGAGATTTTAAAAGCAATAATCTTTTTAAAAAATAAAAAAACCTATGAGCAATTTGAAATGTAATTTCGTTGATTAAGGATAAATGTGTTAATTAAGATTAAGTGTGTTAAATGTGATTAAGGACAAATGTGTTAAGCAGTACACTGCTGAGAATAAACTTCTTTAAATATAAAGTTATTAACAAGAGAAGAAGTGTAAAACAAATTACGAGTTTCTATTTTTTAAAAACAAATTCTAATTTTTTATATCAAACTCTATTTTACCATTGTCATTTTAGCAAAAAGAAAATTGCAATGCAAAGAGTTTGAAGAACGCTTTTCTAGAATTGCAAACGTGTCACTACACACCCCCTTTCTAGTGAAAATGCTATACCTCACAGTTTTTCAGATATGCAGCAAATCTCACTCTTCGATCAGCTCTGGTGTTTCTAGGGTCAATGTCTCTGGAAAGATCACTGTTACTAGGAAGTGGTTGCGAGATTTTGAAGTTATTGGCTTCACTTGGTTGAAGACTGGTTGTTACTTCATCTTTGAGTTCGAAACATGATTTCAGTCTATCTACTGATATTCTTTGAATTTTGCCTGAAACTATCACATAGAAAAAATCCTCAAAACGATGTTTAACTAGATATGGTTCAAGATAAGTTGGTTAAACAGAAGATAAAATTATGTTTTTAAAGATAAATACATGTGAATAATTTGCTACGTTCTTGTGTACGAAAACTGTTCCCCCACCCATGGCTGGTTGCTGGAATTGGTTTTAAATTTTAGATGTGGATTTGCAATTTTTGTATAAAATCTTAATGCTTACTAGTTGGGGATTTACTGAAAAATTCTTTAAGCAAACAGATTGGTGTGCTGTACACAAGTTCAGCCGAAGAACAATGCAAATCTTGTTTAATGCTAGATCAAATGCCAAGCAGAACTAAAGGCAGAAGATCAGTCCAAGAATTTGATGCCTGAAGGTGAGATTTCAGGCTGTTTTTTAAAGTTTGATGATGGTATTTGATTAAACCATTAGATTGTGGGTGATGAGCTGTGGTGATGTTAGCTTTGAAACATAGGTATTTGCTCAAGGATTAGAAAAGCTGGCTTTCAAACTGACAACCTTGGTCAGATGTTAACTTCTCTGGAAATCTGAGTCACGACAAGGGCATTGAAATCTGCAATTTGTCTTCCAGAGGAACAGCTTTCTAAAACTTTTGCAAGATCTTTGGCCAGTAATATTGACATTAAGGTATTTGAAATTCATTTGGAACTTTGAATTCAGCAGCTGCAGCATAGGTATGTTTGTGAACTTTGGCTCGTTGGCATGCCAAGCATGCTTTGGTCAAAAGATGACTGTCTTTGTTTATGCAAAGCCAAATGAATATTATTGTCACCAGCTTCTTTGTAGCATGAAATCCAGTATGTTATGCATACAGAAAAATATTCTTTCATGAAACTCTCTTATGAATGTATGGCTGGTTAAAATTAGTATATGGAAGTATCACAATAAAATTTCTTATTGCTATTCGGAATAGAAATTTGTACTATTTTGAAATTGGAATCTGATTTAAGAATCTTGAAGTCTTCATCCTCCTGGCAATATACAATAACTGTATAATCAACTGGAGCTGAAGAAGCAATAGTTTCAATTCTCGATAGTGTGTTTGTTACAATTTTTTTTTTTCTCCAGAAAAGTACCATATGTTTGTAGTGAATTTGGCAATGTAGTTCAGTTGCCGGACTTGTCTTGGAAAGGCTTTATCTAAATTCTGCTGGAAGGCAAATGTGATAGGTTTATGATCAGTGAAGACAGTAAATGATTGTCTTTCTAGAATATGTTTAAAATGCTTTATGGCTAGGTAGATTGCACGTAATTCTCAATTATAAGCAATTTAGTTTCTTTATGTTGATGATAGGGATTGAGAGAAGGAGATTAGCAGTTGTTTTTCACCATTGTATAATAGATGGATCACAACTCTTAAGACAGAGTCACATGCATCTGTTTATTAGGGGGGTGATCTGTGCCATCTGATTAGGGTGATGTCATTATTACATAAAGTACCTTTAGTCGTCAGTCAGGTGATATCACCAATGAATTTCCCATCTTTAGTGTTGACTCATAAAGTTAAAATGTAAAAGATCCAAAGATAGGCTTGTTGACATCTGAAATTATAAAAAGCCAGTTGAAAGATCTGCATAGCTCTAAATCCAGCTCCAATAATTTTTGACCATAAGTTTTGATTGTTATACTGTTAGCAGGGAACAGCTTCAAACCATCAGCTGCTTTTTTTACCATGGCGATACTGGGATAACCAATATTTCTGCTTCAGTGTCAATTAAAAAATGGGTTGTTGATGAGCTCTCACAAATATACAGACAACTCAGCTATTCGATAATAACTGAAAGCCAGGTATTCAGTTTCTTGTTTCGAACCCTGATATTTGCATGGTGGTGTGCACTTGTGAGCTCTCTCACAAGAAACAGCATAAGTTGTGGTGAAAATAGCAGTTATTTAGGTCACTGTTATTTTTGGAATGATTTCTTAAACTCGATCTGTATGTTATCAAAGTCCACAATCTTCTTATCTTAGAACACATCTAAGTAATTCTGGGAAAACAGCAGCAGCCTTTCCAGAATTGAACGAATTATCTGGCCGGTTACAACATCTGTGGCAGAATCTTCAAGATCCAGATACATAAAACTTTTATTTATTCTATACAGTACTAAGTATCAGTTTGCAAATCCGTACATGAAAGAAATAAAGAAAAAATTAAGACACCATTTCCTAACATTTTCTTTTCTTTGATAATTTCATACCTGCTCAAATAATATGTACAGAGTTTTGCAGTAGTAGCTAAGCTTTTTTTAATGGATGCATGTATTTTTCTGGTAATAGTTTTGGAAATGCAAAGTGAAAAAGGTGTAATGAACATGTCACCATTCAAAGTGGTAAGTGGTTCGAGAATAGTTGTCTGCCATTTACTACAGCAGTCAAGATTTCTATACTGGTGGGGTAAAGCATTAATGAATTAAATTTTGTTTGGAAGTCTTAGAATGGCTGGTAAGACTAGTGTAGACTGAAATAATTACATGCGGGAGATATGCAGAACAAAGAAGAAACAAAAACTTATTTTTAAGTAGTTTTATAAATAAGTTTTCTGGGATAAATATTGAATTAAAATTAAAATATGAACCAAATAACCCGTATGATATGAAATAAATAACTTTTGATTGAGATTACCATTAAAAAAATTGCCAAACTGCTGCAAGGTGGTTGCAATAATACCAGAGTATCAAATAAGTTAGCCATCACTCTCTACAGCAGGATACATACTTTAAATGAAATATATTTTAATAAAGAAAACTTACACATTAGATGCTCCAGTTTCAGCAGTTTCAACTTTCCAATCACACTGAGTGCCGATTGATACATAATTGGCTGAAGCTGATATAGGCTGCTCAAGTTTTTGATTCTCTCCAATCAAAAGTTCACTGTCATCTACTTTTAATATAGTCTCAACAGGCATGTATGTTGAGGCCATACTGCCTAAATTGAAAAGTAAAAATCTTTTCAAACCATGACAAATTTTAAATAGTAATTAAAACAAATGTACCATATGCATGACAATAAAAAAAAAAAAAAAAAAAGAATACATACAGGGCAAAGATGTACAAGAAAAGAATATACAGAAGGATGCATGAAAGCCCTTCAAAACAACCTCTGTCGCATTGAATATGTCACAGGTAGGACATATTGGATTAATTTTAAATAAAACAAGAAACAGCATAAGCAGATTTTTAACAATGACAGAAATTAGATATCTTTTGGATACTACAGATGGAAATTTTGATGGAAAATATGCTTTGAAAAATTTAGATATGTCTTCAAATCAACTGATCAAAAAACTGCAAAATTGACTACTTTATACCATGAATGATCACTCACAAAAGAAACACTTTTTATTTTACACATAACAAATTAAATATTTTGTATAATTTTGTGCGTGGAAGAAAAAACTTCTATTCTCTCTTAGCTTTTTCCACAGAAGATGCTAGAAGACCTGTTATTTTGTCTTATTTACATTTGGGTGGTGATTAATTAATTTCGAATAGTATTAATTTTATTTTATGTATAATTCATATGCAGTAGCATAAAATATTATAAGGGGAAAATGGAGTAATTCAGAGCACAAAATGGAGCCCCTCCCCCAGAAAGTGCAAAAATAAACAGTTGGTTTTCTAAATCTAATTATTTAATCAATTTCACAATTGACACCATAAAATTATTATATGACATTCTATCTATACATTTTAACCATTTCACACTAAACTGATTTTCTTAAAAGATGTATTTCCCTAATATACTTTAATAATCTGAATCAGATTTCAAAACAACAGAAAATTTCATGCACGGTTGTAACTAATATTTTTAAAGTGAACATTCAATAATTATTTCTGTACAAATATAAGACCTCATTTATATTAAGTGGAATAGCAACAAATACATGATGAATTTGATAAATGGGACTAAAGTTGATTTCTCAGTGCTAATATATGAGGGTTGGGGTAAAAGTCATGACAACTATTTTTTTTCTTGTAGATATGTGAACGAATCACAAAACGTGTATGTGTCATGTGGAAGTTTTGCAGGCATAGTGTGTATGCAGAATAACAGATGGCTCTGTGATAGCTAGCTCTGTGGTAGCGAGAGCTCTGAAATCAGTCAGTTGGTGAGTGCCATGCGAGATGGAAGTAACCCGTGTTGAGCAGCGAGCTTACATCAAAATAGCTGTTCTCCGAGGGAGAAATGCGATGGAATGTCACAGTGAATTAGTAGAAACCCTTGGGAATAATACCCTACCATATCGTACAGTAGCACGGAGGGTAGGAAAGTTTCAGCAAGGGCACGTGTCAACCAGTGATGAGCAACGTTCGGGACGACCGGTGAGTGTGCGGACCGACTTGCCGCCATCGAGCACTTCATGGAAGAAGATAGACGATGGACGTTACTGGAGTTAGAGAGGGCAAGTGGCATCGAGAAACACACTGTCCACAGGATATTGCATAATAATCTGCAGCTATGCAAAATCGCTTTGCGGTGGGTACCGCATGCACTGACGGAAGTTCAAAGGTGGGTGCGCTATGCAATATGCTCCGACCACTTTGCACGCTGGCAACAGGATGGCGATCAATTCTTGTCACGAATAATTACCATCGATGAATTTTGGGTCAGAGCATACGAACCAGAACTGAAACGTCAGTCCGCAGAGTGGCGACATCCTAGATCCCCAAGGCAGCAGAAGGTCCATCAGAATCCTTCCCCAGTCAAATTGATGGTGATCGTCCCGTATGACGTCAGAGATGTCATTGTTTGCCACTTTGTTCCTCATGGCAGAACAGTGACCACACAGTACTACAGGGGCTTCCTGGTGCGACAGGTACGACGTGGTGTTTGTGTCCAGATCTTGTGGAAAGTGCGATAATTCTGCACGACAATGCAAGACCACATAAAGCAGAGTGTGTACGGCAGCTACTCTGACGTTGTGGATGGGAAGAATTGGAGCACCCACCGTACTCTCTTGACCTTTCCCCTTGTGACTTTGATCTCATTCCCAAGATTAAGGAACAAAATACATGGTAGTTGGTTTGCAACACGAGAGGACATTGCTAATGCTGTGCACCAACAGATGACCCGATCCACACATTGTGCTGCAAATGCTGAGGCTGATGGTATTCACACATCGTTGGTAGCGCGCGGTGACAGTAGCAGGGGACTACGTTGAGGGTCTTTAGGCAAAGGTTTGTCATGTCAACTTTATGTGTATTGTGTTATCATTCTTTTGCATGGTGAAGGCCATATTGCCCTATATACTACAGTAATAAATTCGTGTGTTACGATATTTCAGTGCTATTCATTGTCCACACATGTAGTTAAGACCTTGTCCTTTCGTCTGTATATGTCACATTTTCCAAACGGACTGGTATCTTCAAGGAAAAAAAAATAGTTGCCATGACTTTTGCCCCAACCTACATATATCTCAATACTACAATAAATTCCTAATTTCCCTTAAAAAAAGACCAGGAGGAAGAAGAAAGAAAATTAAAAGTTGTTGGAGTAACAAGTGCCCCCCCCCTAAAAAAAATTTGAATACTGAACCAAGAATAAAACAGTTTTTCTCCTCAGTTTCACATATTAGAGTATTTAACTACAATTTTACTTTCAGTATTATAAAGAAAAAATAATTGTCATATATAAATTCAGGAATATTTGTTACCGTTACACTATTAAAAGAAAATTAAAAATCCCAAACTGGGAATACAGAGAAAGGTTCTGAACCCTCATCTAGATTGTGGGACATAATCTCAGACCCCCAAATTTCCTGCTATTTCTTCATAAAACCATGTCCAACAATCATACATCTTTCACAAACCCTTGTGTAAAATTGCAATCGTCTTTTTGAACCAATTAGATGTTTATTGTTTGAATATACCACAACATGAGGGCTGCCTAAGCTCAGAAAACTTTTATAAGGATTTCCCAAGAGAAACTGAGTTGCATTTATGCAATACATAGGGGAAAACATAAAATGTTGATGCAGCAAGTCTTAAATGAAACCAAGTTGAAAAACCAGAGTTCAGACATCTTGACTACTGGCCATCAATCAAATGAAATAATCCTAGACTAGTGATTGTCAACCTTTTTTTTTTTTTTTTTTTTTTTTTCTTTGCCCATGCATTCTTTTCATCATTGCTGGATGATCATTTTCCCTTCCTTTCCAAAACTAAAAAAATACATATATGTTTATTTAAAATTTAGATGATTTTTTAAAGTGATTTATAAATTAAAAATGCAAAAGTTTAGAAAATGTTGATAAATACCAAAAATTGAATAAAAGTAGTTTCTTATATTCATAAACTAAATCTAAATACTTTATGGGTACTGACCACATTCTTCCCTAAAACTATGAATCCCCCTCCAGGCAGAGAATCCCTCTACCAGACCCATATAGAGGAAATTACATTCAGAAATTATCTGGAAAATATATCATTTGCCACTCAGTTACAAGCTTGAACTACTTGCTACAGTACAAATCCATATATACTTTACAGAGTTTGACTTTCCAATTCAATTTAAATCTAAGTTGGCTCAGAACTTCTTACCAGCACAACAATCAAATATCAGCAGCAGAAACACAAAGCCGAATAGTTACAGTCACAGCAGAGCTGAAAAACCTAGAAATATGGCTTTGAGAGGCAGAAACATGCTCTGTCTTACAATCCCAAAACCTCATCTTAAATACTCTCTAACTGATTTACAATTCTGGTGAGGAAACAGAAAAAGAGAAGTGATAGCAAAGGTCTAAATCATAATAACTATTTAATTAAAATAATAATAACCCTATGGCTTTTTTCCTGTGCAGGTACATCATTTAAAAGTTACTGAAAAGGCGATTCACATATCATTGCATTTTTAGATTATGAGAAAGTTTATTATTAAGGGAATCTGCCTATGAGAAGGAATGACTTTTCGAAGGACTTTTTATAGGAAACAGGTCCATATTTATGTTACAGTGAGGAAAACTATAAAAATCTCATGCAGCCAGTCTGTTTCATCATTGATAACGGAATCTAAGATGAACTGCCAGTTCATGACTTTGGTCACTCACTAACCACATTTTGTCAAAAAGAGTAACATTTTAAAATTGTAACCACAAGGACCTAGTATATATAAACTGCAATAAATTATACGAAAAATTTCAAATTATTTTAATGTATATATAACATTTGTTAAATTATATAAAATCTGTTAAGGTATATCACATCTATAATAAAACTCAGATCAAACATTTTTCTTGAAGAAGCAAACAAGAATGACAGATGACAACACATACTGAATAAGTTTTAGGCTTTACAGCAGTCACTGCTGTTTTAAAAATAAGAAATATTAGTATGGAATTTGAGATTAAGTAACAGACCATAAGTATAGTGGCGAAGACTGCAAAACATTAAGAGTTATTCTGTGCTTGGTTTCCGTGACTGAAGGGTTTTTATGTGTGTTTCTGCTTTCTTAACGTGCAGGTAATCTTTAAATGCTTAGGAGAGGATTTTTTTTTTAAATTTATGAAAGTAAGATAAGTGCTTAAGTCCTCAGCCATAAGTAGTTTTTATGTTCTTAACAGTAATTAATTAACCTAACAAGCTTAAGTTATATGTAATCTGCAATGCACAAATTAAATGTTTTTCTAATACAGAAATTCAATGTTATTTTAATCAAAAAGACTGTTAAAAGCATTTCCACTGACTAATAACTTACCATTGTAAACAGTATACTTACTTTATGGTGCATCATGAAATATTTGATCAAGTTTTTAAAAAATGCATATATTTTAATTCAATAGCATGAAACTAAGAGAAAGCAGTTTTCTTGAATAAAATGAATAATATTTCAAATATTCAATCTTTTCTAAACACACATACACAAAATAAAAGTTTTGGTTAGAGTAGACTTTAAGGTGCCCCTTGTATTATGGAGAAATTGTTTCATTT